ATGAAACGTTTCATCTCTCTTCCAAGAGACTTCTAGTTTCAGGCAAAATTCAGGCTTTTAAGTCCTGCGTTCACAGGTGACTGATACTCACATCACATGGCTATCGTTCACAGGTGACTCATACCCACATCACATGGCCATGGTGATGTGGTCTCAGACTGAAGAAGTCTCTTGGAAGAGAGACGAAACGTTTCATTAAAGAAGAACCCGTCCAGAGGACCTATACAATTTTTTTTTCCTTTTGATTTTTTACCTGGATTACTGAGATGCATCAGGACATACTGTAATGAAGTACATAGTAAGTAAGTAAGTAAAATGTAACATGTATTTTGTTACTATACACCTGTTCTGTCCACTGGCTTGGTCTAGGAGATTAAAGGGACTAAAACATAAATCTAATCAATGAAGGAGGAGTCAAAAATGGCATTAAAGGTGTTTATTTTCTGCCATGTTTTAAGTTTCTTTTCTATTCAGACTGATTAAATGACTTCAGGGAGAGCTCAGGCCAAAATAACAAACAAAACAATGCTGAAAGAAAAATAAAATTTAAACTTGCCTAACCACCAATGAAAGTAAAATATACAAACCTAAAATAACCTTACCTAACAAGCACATAAACAGGAGAAAACTGAGGTTAAACAAAAAGGCAGCTCTCCCCTACAAGATCAGTCTGACCAATTTTACATTATTTTTGTAAAATACAAAGAGCCTTTCAGCTGATACAACAACMAATGGTGAATGGCAGTCAAGTGGCCCATTGGCACAGAAGTGCAGCTTCACAGCCATAGGGCCCAGCTGATTGAYTGGCTTGAAATCCAAGGAGCAGCACCCAATCACGGGAGAGGCACAGGAGAGGAGGCGGAGCCTGAAAGAAGACAAGGCATTCCTTCAGTGCAAAAACAAACATCCACAATGGGGATGTAACACACCTCTCTGTACCGCAATGCAATACTTGAGTAAAAGTATAAGTATCTTTCCATAAAATTACTTTGGTAAAAGTTTTCTCTGAGAATATTATTTCAATAAAAGTCTTAAGTATCTGACATTTACTGTACTTAAGTATCAAAATTAAATGTCTGATGTAAAATGTACTTAAGTATTAAAAGTAAAAGTATTGAGCAAAAGTGAGCGGATAGAATTTCTAAAACTAAATTTATTAGGAGGTGACACCCCCCACCCATCCTAAATTTAGGATTTACTTGTAAAAAAATGTAAGGAGGAGAAGTAAAAAGTATATACCCAAGTATAGATAACCACATTTTTTACTTAAGTAATGTAACAAAGTATTTTAGTTATTTTACACACCTGTCAGTGTCAACCTGGTGTTGTGTTAAAATGTGCTTTTCTCTGTAACAGAAAACTGACATAAGAAAAAAACAAGATTTTTTTAATAACATTGCTTGAAACTTTGAAGGTTAAGATGAAAACAGAAAAACAGGTTTCAAACAGGAGCACCCAACACAACACCAGTTTCCAAACTGAGTTTGTTCAAAGAGTTATCTACAACAGGTAAGATGTTAATTGTTGATAACCTTTCCACAGAACTCCACTTCAAAAGTTCTGACTTTTCCCTTTAATGCCCTTTTCATGAATTTTCAGTGTTTTTCTGGTCTAACCTCTTCCCGCTGGTTTTTAGTTCTCTTCTTTTCTTTCCTTTTGTTTTTTTTTCCTACCTATAAACCAGACTTTTAATGTTTCGCTTCCCTTTTCTGTGTATTCTGCRTCCCATCCTTTCTTGTCACTTGTTGTTCATTAAACTTGTTTTCTGCTCTCTYCTCCTTCCCAACAGGCTCCTCCCCAGGGTTCAGTCTACATGGTGAGTTATTGTGTGTCTGTGCTTGTGTGAGGAGTTGTCTTACACACACACCCACATCTCTCCTATCTTCCTTGAGCTGTCACGATACATCTTCCTTCACTTGCAGTCCTTCTCTATCTGCAGCCACCCTTACATTAGTGGTATTAACATATCAATCTCATTACACAGCAGAGAGACATAAATTCAGCTTCAGGACCCGTGTTTCTCCTTTTCACTGCTCCACCTCATTTTTTCTCAATCTCCCTACTTTATTTCAGGATTTGAAGCCAAGAGGAGAGAATGATGTCTATAAGGAAYTGGAGCGGTAAGAAGGGAAAGTCTTGCATCACCTTTTGTGTGTGTGAAGCCGTGTTTGTGTGCTTACACTGTCACTTATCACATCCTTCTCACACTCACCAATCACGTTGGCCTGAACATCACTCTGACACTGTGGCATAATATCACGCCACGCGCTGACAGCCGGCTCCTTCGCCTGTGTATTGTTGTTGCRTGGGCCGCCTGTGTTTGTGTTTAAGGAATACTGGGAAAAAAGATTGGTGGGGGGCGACGAGAGATTTCTTTGTTTTTTCACTTTTTTTGAGCGAGTTTGTCTTTGTTCTCTGTTTTCAGATACGAGCAGTGTCAGGGCTGATCTCCTACCCACATCTCACCCTCATCCAGCTGTCACATCCCCTCTCTTCACTGCTGCAGCAAAAGGCCTTTATAAACAACTGAATGTCAGAGCTGCAACATGAATAAAACTTTGGTGTTTTAGGAAAATGCTTTATTTTTTCTTTATAAGCCATTGCTTTTTGCCATTTATAGAAGCTTTAAAATTTATCATAAACATGTGTGGGTGTTTAAATCTGTCTTTTTATTGATCCACTTATTTTTTTGTATCAAGCATCTATTTTTTATTGGAATCAAATTTATCATAAATATTTTTCTTAATTTGATGCTTCTGGTCATTGTGCAAATTATACAGTGAGTATTGTAAGTGAGTCAACTTTTTCATGTGAGTTAATGCAGAAGCGCAGAATTGTGCTTCAGTGAATTTATTTCTTATGATGCTCATTTTTATTTTATGTTTGCCAGCTGTGAATAAAAATTGTAATTTTTGTCAGTTTGTGGGATGTAATTGTGTATTTTGAATCTGAAACAAAACCACCTGAGCAGACTCTCATCAAACAAAAAGAGCAAAACTAAACAATGCAAAACATCCTAAAATTATTAGATTCTCAATGTGTGACAAAGGATGAGATTTTTCCATCATACAGTATTACACGTAAGTATTTTTCTAGCTATAATTAGAATCAAATACAATCTGTCATACAAAAAATAATGTGCTATTTTTATTATTGTCTATTAGAAAATTAAAGATTATCCAAAACTTTTGTTTGATAAAATGAAAATACATTATCATATTTATTCTCCATCATTCATCTCTTTCAATTTTCTAAATCCTAATTTTGTGCATATTTTAACGTACAGTTTTCAGTCTTAAAAGTGTCTGTAATTTCCTCTAAATGTGCTTAATTTTAYTTTACATGTTTAGTTTACTGAACTATCCATACATTTTAACAGATTGGATTTTAGTGTTCATCCTGACAGTATTGAGGTGATAAACACTCAGTTTACTGCAGCAGTCTCTCTCTCCTGCTCTGAACACAGAAAGCAGAAAACATGAATAAATGGTGGGGATAAATGCAGCTAAGACTCCAGTTAAATTTATTTAGACAATATCAAAAAGCTACTGACTGTTGTCATCACTATTAAATATTGGATTTAGAGTAAATACATACACACACACACACACACACACACACACACACACACACACACACA